CATGCCCCCCACCCCACCTAAGTTCCTCTACTCCAGTGCAAGCTAAAGGGAGAAACAAAAGGGATGGCATGTGTTGTGCCTCCTGCCTGGACTCCACCCCTGGTATGCCTCTTCACTCCTCCAGGTAGCCCTCAGTGTCACCTCCTCCAGGATGCCTTCCTTGATGCCTCTCTTGGCACAGGTTTGAAAACTCCTTTTCCGCAGGCTCCTACATACTCAGGGCAGTCCAGGTCTGCCTGAGCCTCTCCCATAGCCGGAGGGCTCCTAGATGACAGGCCTTGCCTCCCCGAGACTTCTACTTAAACATGGCCCCAGGACCGGCAGCGGCATCTCCCGGGAGCTTATTAGGAAAGCAGAATCGAGCCACGCTGGATCCACTGAATATGAACCTGCGTTTGAACAGGGTCCCCAGGTGAGTCACGTCCGCGTTCAAGTCAGAGAAGCGCTGACTTAGGAGACAGGCCGAGCAGGATCAAAACACTGCCCCGAATTTAGGAAACCAAAGTGGTGTTTCCAGATACAGAGAATTGCACCCCAGGTGTGTGACGAGCCGTAGTCACAGGGCGTCGGGCGGCCGAGGAGCCTCCAGGGCGGTGGCCCGTCTCCATGTCCAGCACCCTGCCCAACCCCGACGGGTCGGCGGCCCAGAGCGAGGGAACAGAAGCGAGGGTGGCAGACACGTTGGCTGGCTGAGCAGCACACGGTCATTTAAGGGAGGCGCCTGGAAAGGGCTGCCCCTCTCCGGCCGCGTGATGCCCTGTGGGCTCGGTGCCTGCAGCCAGGGGTTAGCGAAGCTTCCTGGGAAGGCACGGCATCAAGCCATCTGGGAGGAAAACGGTTGCAGAGAAGCGGCTCTGTCCTCAGAGAAGCCAAGGCAGGCTTTTACCCCGGGATGGAGTCGGGCTGCCGGAAAGACCTCACCCAGAAGCCCTCGCGGAGGGTGCGGGTAACAGCAGCTCCCAGCGACAAGGCAGGGGCGGACAGCGACTGGGCCCCGAGGGAGCCTGGGCCCCGCGGAACTGCACAGGGGCTCTGAGCGACATTCTTGCAGTTGATCCCGAGGCGAGAATCAGACCAGGGTAGAGCGAGGAATGGCGGAGCGCGCCTGGCCCCCTTCATGCCGAAAGCCGGCCGCTGGCTGGCGGCTCGCCGGGGCGGGCGCGGGCCTTGGTAGGAGACCTCACTCTGCTCCAGGGACAGCCC